CATGGGTAGTGGTGCCACAATTAGTCCAAATACATTTATCATATGAAATAAATAAACACCTTCTGTTTGATTATCAAGTTTGTTTTAAAACGCGACATAATGTTAACTAATATAATTACACTAAAAGTCCGTTTAATTAAGTCAGAAAAACAATTGATAATTATTATTTTATGTTTTAATTATAATTACACATAAACCCGTGAAGCATATTTTAAAGGTGTTAAAGTTACTATAAAACCTTTTCCAGCAACAACAAGGTATCAAATTATACTGTAATATTTACAATGTGGTTGTTATGTTATTACCAAGAACAACATATTATCCATTTTTCATTTATTGAATAGAAAAACCAAAAAAAAAACTTTTGCCATTTTTATTTTTTATTTTTTTTAAATACCAACTAAAAAAAATAAAGCCCAAAAAAATCGAAAAGACAAATTAAAACAATTTTGTTTTATTCAAACATTAAATCAGAATTGCCATCAAAAAGTTTATTTTAAATTTTCTGAAACCATTATTCAATAAAAATCAACCCTTGTCTTTTTAATTTTGTTTTTAAGAGCCCTGACAGCAAGTTCAACAATTATGGTTACTACAAATAAATGTTTTTGATTGTATATTAAAACTCAAAATAATTTGCAGAGATTTCCATCAAAATATCATTTTGAGTATTCCATATGTTTGTTATATTTGTTATGCATATACAAATATTGAGTAAAAAAGTCGATATACTTTTTCACAAATTCAGTGTTTTCTACTTGGTCTACAGTGACTTGGTACATTTCTTTTTCTACAAATCACAACTTCACATTTTCTGTGGAATCACATTGAAATTTCTGGTTTTTCATTTTTTATTGTTTCGATAAAACGTGAAAAGGATATTCACATTTTGTAGGAGTGTTAAAGTTTTTCTTCAAATAAAAATGTGGTGTTAATATATCACATAGTTGTCAATGATAGCAAAGAACGTATAACTCGTCTCTTTTCTAAATATAAAATCAAAGAAAAGAAAAGAATTTAAAAATTGCACTAAGAAATATAACACAACCGTTTTGAGTTATTTGTGCGATAAAATGCTTTGATATGTTGTTTAATCATTCGGCCCATTTTGTTAACTCATCTTTACAAATAGTTTCCACAAATTATTGTATTATGTTATGTTTTGTATAAATCGGGAATATAGTGAGGAATCATTTTCAACGTTTTGATTTTGGCTGGAAGCTATTTTGAATTTAAATGGTTTTTAAATTTGTAGCTTTCTTTTAATAAGGACAATTCTAATGATGGTACTTCTTTGCAAACTTCTTGTGTAAAAGTCCATACACATCGTCTCAAGACTGGGAAAACAGTTTAAAATATCCAAGACGTCATTTGTACGAAATAATTTATAAGAATTTATGTACATCATTTGCACAGACTGATTGCATATATAACTGACAAACTTATAGTTTAAAACATCGTTTAATGTTTCTATATATAGAATTACATTTATAAAAAAAATAGATTTGAGTTGTGTCATTTTTTATTTGTGTTTTTAATATTAAATTGGTTATTATTATAATGTTTCTAAATATTTAGTCATTTTTTCTGCACCTTTTTTCAAATATAACATTTTTAGTTTTTTATGCAATCAATTGAACATTATTTCAGCAATTTGATCAACATTGATTTTGTCAAATACATAATAAAAAGGTTATTAATTTGTCATAAAAGGTTATTGATATCGTTTATAACAATTAATAAAGTAGATAATTAATATTATGTTATTTCTGATTTAATAGTATCACTAAGAAATAATTCATTGCTAAAAAATGCGATTTATTACAATTTTTAATAGTTTTTATGTTATTATTGTTTAGAATGTGCTTAATTTATGGTTATTCTCAATTATCATGAAATATAAAACAAGTTCTTATACTTACTTAATAAATTGAGATACCCAATTTATAAATATAATACGATGGTTTGTTTATGTGTTAGATAATGGTTAGTGCCTGAAAGTTTAGCCTTTTAAAATTTAATTATATAAATACATTATAACAAATTTTATTGTTTAGTTAATAATTATTATATAACAATAATTTTATTTTTTTGTAATTGCTATATAGAATATGATTCGATAACTGTACCATTCGAAATATATAATCTATATGTACTTATAATAAAACATTCATTTTTGAATGAATCATTGTGTTTTATTTTTATCATGAAATTACTCTATATCTATCATTTTATCATTTAATGTGTTTCAAAACAAATATGGAATTAATTCATAGATGAAATAGTCTTGCATCTATAGTTTTGTTATTATGAGTAATAACCATGAAATGATTTTTTGAAATAAATGAGTTTAAAAATATGTTCTATTAAATAGAAAGTATGATTAAAATAACATAATTTGTTTCATCTTAAAATTTCAAATACAAACAATGAAACTAATTCAGTTGTGTTAATGATTTAACAATCAAAATAAAGTGAAATTTCGAATAAATAATAAGTGCATTTGCCGGGACTCGAACCCGGATCTCCACCTTGGAAGGGTGGAATTCTGCCCTTAGACCACAAATGCTCACTGAATGTAATTATATATGATAGTTATTATTTCAATGTTTTCAATAATCAAAAAATAAAAACGCCCCCCGGGGGGCTCGAACCCCCGACCTTACGGTTAAAAGCCGCACGCTCTACCGACTGAGCTAGGAAGGCACTTATTAAAAAGATTCTTAATTTTATAACATTATAAATTAAAAGACAAGAAGTCGAGGTTAGAAGACAAAGTGTTGGTGTTCATTGAAAACATCAGTGTGTTATTTGTTGTTACTTTTAATAATTTTATGATATTGAAACTACACAATTACTTTGAAATGATTATAGATTAAAATAAATTAAAATGGTCCCGGCGGGGATCGAACCCACGACCCTCGCATAACTCTATTCTATAAGTACGATGCACTACCGACTGTGCTACGGGGCCTTCTTAACATTCTAAAATAAAAAGCATGTTTTAGTTAATTTTTTTATACGATTATCTTTATTTAAACAATATTTTAAAAACAATTGGAAACCCATTTGCTTTTATCAAATTTGTATCATTTAAAGTTTTGGGAAAGTAACAACAGTCAAATAATATTTTAAAATTAATTTATCATGAACAAATAAAAATGTGAATCATTTTGTTTGGAGCTACGACTATTCTAAATAAGTTATTTTAATATAATTGAGTTTAACAACATTCATGAAAACTATAACCCACATAACCAGTAATTAAAATTGTAAGAGTTAGTTTATTTGATTTTATATTTTTTTGTATTTTTAATAATTATAATTTTATCATTTAAATGTTCATATTTTAATATTTAATATAATTAAAGTATAGCATATTTAATAATATTTTATTACAACTTAAAGTATAGCAAGAGTGGCCGAGTGGTCCAAGGCGCTTGTTTCAGGTACGAGTCTTTTCGAAGGCGTGGGTTCGAACCCCACCTCTTGCATTTTATACACTTTTGTTTTTTTATTTTTTGAACAATTGATTTAAATATAGATTGTTTACTTGGAATATGAAAAGTAAAATAAATAAAAACTCCAAAGAGTGAGGCGAACTGAAAGAACTGCCTAACGATATTTTCAACCAAAAACTACAACCAAACAATATAAATACAACAAACTCAAAAAAGAAGACATTTAAATTTTAGAAAAAGAAGCCAAAGTACAAACAATTGTTGTAGATTATATTTCGGAATGTGCAAGGCCAATTTTGCTGATAATGACTCATAAAAAGCAATCTTTCCATCAATTGTTGGCAGACCAAAACAGTTTTCAGTCCTGGTTAAGATGGGCAACAAGGACACTTATGTTGGAGATGAAGCACAACCAAAGAGAGGAATCTTGACAATAAGTACCTAATTGAGCATGATATTGTCAATGATCGGGACGATATGGAGAAGATCTGGCACCACACTTTTTACAATAAATCAGAATTGCACCAGAAGAGCATTCAATCCTATTGACTAAAGCCTCAATGAACCCAAAAACAAACAGGGAAAAGAAGACACAATTTATGTTTGTAACTTTCAACGTCACAGCCATGTACATTGGAAATTAGACTGTCCTTACATTGTATGCATCTTATATTATCTATGAAGAATTGGGACACAGTGAGAGACCATTTCACTCCCACACGCCATCCTATGAATTGATCTTGCTGGTAGTGATCTTACCGACTACCTCATGAAGATCTTGATTGAAAGAGGTCACTCATTCACCACAACTACAAAAAGAGAAATTGTCAGAGATATTAAAAAAACTTTTCTACGTTGCTCTTGACTTCAACGTAAAATGCAGAATGTTGCTTCATCATCAGAACTCAAAAAATCACATTAACTTTCAAATGGTGGAGTCATCACCGTTGGGAACGAGAGATTTAGATGCCCACAAAACAATTTTCAGCCATCATTTCTTGGTATGGAAGCATCAGGTGTTTACGAGACAACTTACAACTCAATTATGAAATGTGATGTGATATAAGAAAGGACTTGAACTGAACATTTTCTTGTCTTGTGGTACCTTTTTGAACTCGGGCATTTACAACGGAATTGAGAAGGTGATGGTTGACTTGCACCATTAATAATGAAAATCAAGGTCATTCCAAAACCAGAAAGAAAGTACTTTGTCTGTTATTGGAGGATCAATTCATGCTTCATTGTCCATTTTCCAGAACACGTGTATCACCAAGGAAGATTACAACGATTATGGCCCAGCCATTGTCCACAGAAAGTGCTTCTAATTTATCCACACATTTTAATTTTTATTATATCAACTTCAGGGTGTTTGTTTTATAATATTGTTTTATACTTTATCGTTGTCTTTTTGATAAATTAAAACACAAATAACAATTTCATTATAACCAAAAATATTGTTGAAAATTTTATAACATATATTAAAAACATGTTTAATAAAAAACAGTTTTTATTTTTGATGTTTTGTGATTAAACAGGAAAAAAATATTTAAAAAAATGAATGGAAAGTGTGTTTTAATACCTGTATTATAACGAAACGCACAAGTTTATGCATGTATCAATAAAGACAAATTAAAAATTGCTTTTGTTGATTGTGTATCAGTGACCAAATTTACATTCTTGTTTAAAAATAACAAAATGAGAAATTTTTGACAAGTACACAACACTCACAAAAATTATTAAGTTTATGAAAAACAAATAGCGTTGTTAACATTTTAAAATAATAGTATCAAATTTTAATGATCTTAAAAAGACTCAAATTGTTGACGTGACGACAAAGTGACTGATTTTTTTTTTGGTTTGACAACGTTAAAAAAATCGACGTTATAGAAATTTATGATGTGATAGCAGAGTTGTTGTTTGTGTTATTATGAAAACATAAAAGAATTATTAAAAACAAAATTTAATTTAATCAATGATAAAAAACAGATAATTACTCATGATAAATACAGAAAAGTTGTCAAAAATGAAGTATCCATTTTATTCACAGGTTTGTATAATTATTCAACTTGATAAAAGAATTGGATGAAAAGGGCGAGTACTATATTGATTACGAAGAAAAGAATCTGTATATCTACTTGCCGGCTACTGTTTATAAAGTGTGGATATCACGAACAACTTCATTATTTATCAATGTACATACTTTTAATAATTTGACCATTCAAAATATCATATTTGAATATACACGAAAAATATGATGAACTTTTATTTATCAAATAATATTCTCATTAAAAATGCACTTTTAGACACTCAGGGTTAATGGGTATTTCTTTTTCGGGTAATTATTCGACAATAACTCATATAATTTTTATGACGCGGGAGCAGAAAGTGTAGTTATGAGATGTTATATGTTTTACATTGTATTGTTACAAGTATATTATTATAGCATTACTTTATCATTATTTTATATTGCTGAACTATAACAATACAATACAAGATAATAGATTTAAACTATTCTTATTAAAAAACTAATATTACTATAAATTATAGTTTAAATAACAATAAGGAAATTTTACTTCATTATATCGAGGAGAGTGTTATCTAATTCATAACTATGCCAACACGACGTCACAACTATCATTTACTTTTGTCCCAGCTTTTTCTATTTGTACTGTTGGTAATTACATGAAGCACGATTTTGTAGAAAACAATCCCCATTTGGGGTATTCACATAATGGCGCGTATTTGGAAATTTCATACAATGAAACTAAAAATGTCTGTACTCGAGCTTCTGACTGTGGTGCATTGGATTTTGGAACGCACTAATAATATTATGGTAATGTCATCAAGAACAACTTCTTACACGACTCCACAGGATTTGGGCAGCCCGGCGGATTGTTTTATGTCATTGGAATTTACTCAGACGACAACTTATGAAAGCAAAGAGTCTACCAAAACGTTGTTTCTAATTTTGTCAATTGTTATATAACACAAGGTTCTGGAAGGTCTAACATTATTTATTACAACATATTTTATAATTGTGATACTGAATATAGGGGAGATTCTAGAGGATTATAAAGGTATCACACTACCCCAAACATGTTCTACAATTTACTGGACACGATGGTGAATAATGGAGTTGATAGATATATGTCTCCGTGGAAAGACAAATTTCCTCAATGGGCACTGTTACCAAAAACGTCGGAAGAGTTAATGAAAGAAGAAATATTCATTGGCTGTTAATGGAGAACAGTGAAATATACTGTAACGTTTTCTATAATAACAAAAAGAATAACGCTTTTGCGGATCAATGTAACATGGATATGAAAAGGTGGGAGATGAACACTAATTCAAGTCAAGATCCAATGTTTTGTGATGTCGATAACAACGATTTTATGATGAAAAAAGGGGAAATTTACAAATACAATTGTTGGGAAAAAATACATTATGAAACTAAGGGATTAATAAACAAGACAATGCTTGTGGTGTCTTGGCGGATTTTTTAACTGTTATGTGTCTCCTGTGATCTAACTTTTTTAAACTATTTATTTATTGGTTTTAAAAATTAAAATATAAACTAGAACAACAAGACTATTCTAAAATTATATTTAAAAATAATTCAAAATAATAGTATATTTATTTATTTATTTTTTAAACTATATTATAAACAACTATATAATAAAATACTTTGTTATAACTTGATTCGATATTTGTTAAAAAAATTGAATTAAACTGGACGAACAAATTAATTATATACAATGTGTTCTGAAGCAAGAAGTGATAATTTCATGATACACATCGTCTGTTGACCCCTTGCTTACTGGCTACAGACTGTCTCTCTTGGCGAAGTGCCAAGCCTTTCAAAACCCGCGCAGTAAATTCACTCAACACAAGTTCATCCCACCGAAATGTTAACACTTTTGAATTGACTAACCGCGCGTTCCCCACATTGTAACCGACTTTCTTTTCAACATCAATTGTATACATCGCTTCTTTACCAAATACCCACTGTAACATCGCTCCATGTTCTATAAAGTGTTTCTATCTTTCTTTTTCCAAAAGTTGATGGTATTGAAATTCATTGAGAATTGTTGCAAGTAGTAGAACTCCGGTATAGCCTTTATCGGTGTTGTCTGGAGATTGTCATAGAAAATCCCAATAGAGCCAATCAGTCGTTCCATGTCAAAAAGGACATCAAATAGTTTCATATACATGTATGGCTCCACTCGAAACAAAAAGACAAAAGGTGTTGCTATAGAACTGTAATGGTTCCCATAATGCGTCCCAACTTTCGCAAATTTGTTTTGCAAATTATTGCGGCGCTCTTCGTCTTGTGCGACAACAGGATATGCAAGATCTCTGTATATCTGTTTTGAGCTTGGGTTGATGGATAGGCTTTTGTTGTCTTTAATGACTCAAGGGAACACGGGGTACTGTGAACCGTCGAGTCCACTTCTTCCACTCTTCACAATGGAATAAATCAAATACTCAAAGTTAAATATCACACCACATCTCCACATTTGTTGTATATCTGTTGTCTCTCTTTAATCTTCACTATTTTGACTTGTTAAAGTGGCTGCTTTTCATTTTCAAGTGTGTCTTTCGACGACAACTTCGTTGCGCATGAACATCGCATTGAATCTATCATTAATACAATACCTCTTAACTTCTTCTTCAAAGACTCTGCTGTGGATTTTAACAAACTTTTCGATGGTCCTTTTCCTCATTTAAATTTTACCTTTGTCAATTTCCTCTTGTGCTTTCTCGTCTTTTTGTTCTCTCAAATACATCGTTATTGCTTTCTCACGACGTCGAACTATTTCGCTCTTCTTTTCCAGTTTTTCTTCTAGTTCTTCTCGATCATTCTTCTCTTTAGTGCGACGCTTCACATGAGCCAGAACTTCATTCATATGAGCTTCTTGTTGAATGTGGAATATCCTTCCAAAACACGCTTTGAATGTCTTGGTCGTATTTATAAAAGAACTCGTCGATCTCTTCAGTGCTTTGTTGTAACACCTTTTTGAAGCCTTTTGTAACTCTCCGCTCGGTAACAGTTTCACTAAAATGTCGGTGTATTCCATCACAATTATTTTAATGTACGTCTCTTGAAGTGCTATACCGCGACACCCCCGATACTTCATCAACAAAATCTCAAATATCGAAGACACGCACGTCTCGCTTTGAGTCTTTTTAATGAAGATGTTTTGATTGTGCAAATGGTGGATGACCGACATAAAATTCTTGTCTTCTAAAAATTTATGACTTGCACCCTTCACATGAAGTCATTGTCTTTACTTTGATACTGTTTGGGATCTACACAGACTCCATTCGATATGGTGACACTTCGTTCAACAAAATAAAATGTCTACACCACAATTGCTACATTGTACAACGTCTATCAAGAACGCGTAGTACTCAATGCAACAGAGAGACACTTTGTTATTCCCTAACTTGTTAACTAACAACCGTAACTTGAGTGCCATGACCGTGAAAAGCTCACAATGAAAATTTCCACTACTTTGGATATTCATAGAGTCAAGAAAGATTTTGCGGAAGTCGCCAACTTCTTTGATTAACATTAAAAAATGTATCATCCCTCCAAAAACATCCCTCTGCTTCTGTTTCATCTCGTTCTAACATACAAAGTCCCCATCGGAATACTACACACTTGAATAAACTTTCTACCACCTTGTTGGAGTCTAAGACTGCGCTTCGCAGTGTCTGGTATTGGTGAAAACAATAGACATATAGAGACAGTGTATATTACATTGTCGTATTCGCTTTGTTTAATTTTAAAGACAAGTGAGGCATGAATGATTGACATTAACACTGAAAAGTGTTTTAAAGTAACTGAGAAATGGATTGGGTGGTCTTCATCAGATATTTGGAAATGGTTTTGCCCGCTGGTGTTATGTGAAGTAAAAACAACACAGAGTCTATTGAGTCTTTACTTTTCAAGAAGATACAGGAGTGTCTTTTGAGGACATCCGCCTTATTAGAAAACTCCACACAAAAGCTCTGTAAAGTAAATGAGAGTGTTGCAGTCAAATGAAACAGAGTTGATAATAGGCAAATAGAGTTTTAAAAGTGACAGAAATTTACAGAAAGTCTGACGTGATGTTCAGAATGTTTCTCTTTAAAATAGTAATTATTTTCAATAGTGAAAGGACTTTAGAAAAACAGTAAACACAAAACAAGTAGTTTCTTGTTTTTGGCGACACAGAAGTGTTTTCCAAATCTAACAGTTGTGGTAACTTAAAGTCTTTTTCTGTTAATTCAAGAGGGTAAATAAAGCTTTGTGGTGCTGTTAGACTCACAAACTTCTTTTGGGTGCTTTCATTATGTTGTTGTGTTGGTGACTTTTAAAGAGTCGATATCCCCCAAAATTTCTTGAGTGTTTTCTTCACTGACATAGTTGTTGATTTGCATAATTTCTACACTCTCAGTTATCAATGTCGTTTCTTCACTTTTTCCTATGGAGTTTTTTCATGCTTTGTATAACAATTTCTTTAACTCCCATCATCACTCTGTCGACGAAAGCCAAGTACTTTATACAACTCATCAAAGACCCTCAAAAAGTACATTAAAATAAAGCCAAGTCGTTCAGTTTTTCATACAAAGCGTCGAAGCCCAAAATTTCTTTGAACAGCCAGGTCGACTCTTCGACGACTTCGTTGCCGACTTAGTCATCAATAAAGAGTGAAATCAATTTCCCTATTTACTATTTTGGAACCAATGTTTCTATACTACCATTAACTATCATGATGTCACCGAAACTGTATATGTCCCGATGTGTTGGTGACCCTTCATGCCCTGCCAACACTTCACTGTTGCCCTCTAACTTGATGACATTTAGTGTGCGTCTCAACTCGGAAGTACCATCACTATATAGATTAAAAAGTCGTTCATAACAACACCAATATGATGCCACGTGTCGTACTCGACTTGTTTCGACATCACGCACTGTCCCTCGTAATTCACTTCAAGCTTCCCATTTCTCATTTTAAGCTTTATACCATCCCTTTGTGAACTGAATTACCAAACAAACTGTGTATGATGGTAAGGATCTCGTTATCGCCAAGACTCACTTTGAAATATTATATGATGCTCACCTCATTGCCATCAATCCTAATCGATTTCTTAATAAATGAAATACATTCTTATATGTCAATGGCGATATGACCCACATTATTTTCTATTGATGTAATTTGTTTTCTTTTTAATGTATTACAAATTAGCAGTCACAGTCCCAATTTTTTAAACACATTTTAACACAGATAGTTTGTACTGTTTTTAATATAATTTCGACAAACTTTAGAATTACAAACATGAAATGTTTATGACGGTTAAAACGTCGACAATGACGTTCATTTTTTTATCATCACCAGAGCTCATGTGATGTTTGTGTATTTAATTGATGTGTTGGTTAAATTGTCAATTTACCATTATATTTTTAAGATTTCAATTGATTTCAAATTCTTTGTTGTTTATCACGAAAAAATGACAAGAATTAAAGAAACCTTTGCATTTAAAACATCTGTTAGAAACTTTATTTACCTAAGATCGACTTGATGATATAAATCTTTTTAAATAATTTGAGTGCTTTTGAATTATGTAAATTTCTGAAGGAAATTCAATTTGTTAAGAAATTATTCTGAAACACTGAAACCCTCGTTCTAAACATATTATGTCAACGTGTCGTTTATAATTAGTTTTTTCGAAAATTAACAGGCAATTAAAAAAACAATAATGATTGTTTGAATAACAATGTATTATTAAATTATTAAAATATGATAATAAATAATTATTAAATGGTATGTTTGTTGATTGCATTGCAAATATCGATTTGTAATACAATCAAATTGTGTTCAAAAATACTGGTTTGGCAAAACCTTTAAGTTTTAACAAAACTACAAGAAAAATTAATTATTTGGTATTATTTTAATAGAATAATTGTCATATTATATATAAATGCCTTGTAATTATTTTATGTAAAAAACAATTCATCATTTAAAAATACCCCCATATTAGGTTTATAAATTAATGACATTATTAAGGCGACCTTGAAGATCCATCAAAATGCTTGGGCTGACAATAATTATTTAAAGTCAAAAACATACGTAAAATAATTAACAAC